ACAAAAGATACAAAATGCATCATCAATATTCATGAAATCAAAAAGTTAAAAGATTATTAAACTTCCAAAAATTAAACCATCTAAAATCATCAACTGTCAAAAGGAAACGGCACTACAGAAACAACAGAAAGTCCAACACCTTGCTGCATAGACACACCTCTCTGTTGCCTGAAGGCATCCTCTGTTTGGGAGGTGTTAACTGGCATTTGATTGTTTGTTGTCTGGAGTTTCCCTGTTTCTGAGTAGTACTTCTTATTTCCTGTCTTGATTCTGGTGTTTGTTAATACTGGTAGCCAGATTTTGTTAATTTACATGGTTTCCTCCTTTCCGTTGAGACTGTCCACATGCTTGTGGATTTCAAAAGCTTCTTTGTGTAGTCTGATATAATAGAATCATAGAATCAAAGAGTTGGAAGAGACCTTCTGGGCCATCCAGTCCAACCCCCTGCCAAGAAGCAGGAATATTGCATTCAAATCACCCCTGACAGATGGCCATCCAGCCTCTGTTTAAAAGCTTCCAAAGAAGGAGCCTCCACCACACTCTGGGGCAGAGAGTTCCACTGCTGAACGGCTCTCACAGTAAGGAAGTTCTTCCTCATGTTCAGATGGAATCTCCTCTCTTGTATCTTGGAACACACAAGAAGCTCTATTGTCAAGTACGCCCAGGGAGTACCCAGGGTGGGTTAACACCCAAAATGCTTATCTGTAACAATAATGTGTGTGTTTACGTAGTTTGTAGAAGGTTATCAGTGAGAGACACTGAAGTTCTTCCTCATGTTCAGATGGAATCTCCTCTCTTGTAGTTTGAAGCCATAGTTCCCATGAAGGGTACCCCTTTAGTTAGGCACCCCAAGGCTGGCGACAGAAGGCAAGTAGTCTCCGTAGGTGAAGCCAAAATCTCTTTATTTCAAGTGTGGCCACACAGGGAGAAACAGCCAAGGCAGACCAGTGTCTTCAAAGAAAGCTGTCTCTAACATTTGGATCTTTCAGTCTCCTTATATACATGTCTTTTCGCTGTGTCATGGGCACACACCTCTCTTATCGGATCAACCATTCAAAAACATGTTTTTCTCATATTTTGCCACTTCAGTGTCTCTCACTGATAACCTTCTACAAACTACGTAAACACACACATTATTGTTACAGATAAGCATTGTGGGTATTAACCCACCCTGGGTACTTCCTGGGCATACTTGACAATAGAGCATCTTGTGTCTTCCAGATACATTATCTCCCCTTAGCTTTTGGTCTTCTGCAGGCCAGAGGAAAGGGACAAGCCTCTCTTTAGGTTTGCATTTCAACATTTCAGCATTTCTAAGTTCTGTTAACCCTTTCAAACAATAACAGTAACACCACGACGCATTAAAAACCTATGGCAGGGCCAAATGTAATAATTAAAATTTTAAAATACTGGCCATGACAAGGTGACATATAACTAGGATGGGTATTTGGAGAGAAATGGAGCGAGCAGACAATCCTAGATCATTAGTAAAGTGCGATTAGGGACATGTTGCTTAGGGTCCCTTATTCTGGGAAGGCACACTGGAACAACTGTTGTAGTAGAGTCCTTTGCCAATGCTGCAACTGGTAGTAGGAGTGGTAGAGGAGGGAAAAGAGGCTGTAAACACTGTAAAGGATCAAGGCATTGACATCTTTGGCCCATCCCCTTTTCGGATATCAGCCAGCATGCCAATACTTTAAATCAAGAAACACCTTCCTAAGACCTACAGAGATTCTTGCAGGAACACCTCAGCAAGTGAGAGTCCAAAAGTGGCAGGCTAAAACCCGGAACCTCAATCGGTGCCTGATACCTAATGAGAAACTCCCTCCTGGGCACACAGAAGGTGGGGCAACTTGGAAGGTGCTGAACAGACTGCGCGCTGGCACCACGAGATGCAGAGCCAACCTCAAGAAATGGGGCCAGAGTGGAGTTTGTAACATGTGGAGTGTGGAAAAGAGCAAACTACAGACCACTTACTACAATGTGGTCTGAGCCCCGCCACAAGCACAATGGAGGACGTTCTTACAGCAACACCAGAGGCATTCCAAGTGGCCAAATAGTGGTCAAAGGACATTGAGTATAATGCCAAGTTTTGGTAAACATTATGTTTTTCTTATAAGTCAGAGCACAGTCCAGGTATCTGGGTGTGTTGCAATGCTCCACTGGGATTCCTCCCCAGGTCATGCTCAGAGCCGGAGATGCTTGCACATGCTTGCGCTATAGATACACGCTTAGCTCAGTCTAGGAAGGGTTAAGGGGAGGGAGTGGGATTGCTAGAGAAGGCAGGAAGCCTGTAAGGGAGGAGGCCAGTCCTCCAGAGCCAAGGAGCCCACCCTCTTCCTTCTCCACTGGTGCCTGGCCTGCCTGCCTTCCTCTCTTCCAGGCTCAGGTGAGTCCCAACACAGGCCTCCTCCATAGGCTTGCATCCTTTTGCAGAAAGGCCCTTGCAGTGGGTGAGGTTCCCCTTCGTATTGGTTTTCCCTTATGAATGGGTTCAGGATGCAAATGTGTGAAAGGAGGCCTTTGACACACTGGAGCTGGTATGGGCCAACTTTGGCCCTCCAGGTGTTTTGGACTCCAACTCCCACAATTCGAATTGTGGGAGTCCAAAACACCTGGAGGGCCAAAGTTGGCCCATGCCTGAGATAGATAAATATATTTACTAGAGTCAAGTAAATTGAAACAAATGTCAAGATAATAATAATAATTATACTCTGGCACAAGCCAGTTTAGGTGTTGCCAGAGGTGATCGGCACACTGGGTGCAGCACCTAAAGACCTTGGCCTGCACTTAACAACAATCAACGCTGCCAAAGGCCACCCTATTCGGATCTGCACGCATTATTCACCGATACATCACACAGTCCTAGACACTTGGGAAGTGTCCGACATGTGATCAAATACAAAAGCCAGCATAGTGATCTTGTTTGTTGTGTACTAATCTTGTTGCATATCTAATGTAATAATAATAATAATAATAATCATAATAATAATAATAATAGGGTGGCTTCCAACATACAGTTGTAACAGGCAAACATTCAATGCCCATGTAAACAAAAAAAAATCATAAAAATTTGAAACAAAAGCCAATATTAACCGTTGTACAATAAGTTAAAATAAACAGTGGCATTAAATAAGTATCACTAAAAGCAATTTAAAAACTAGCTGGGGCAAAGTGTCATATCAGTTCCCTTTCGACTTCTCTCAGGCTTCTCCTGTTGACGCAGACGCAGCCTAGAATGGCATTGGCCTTTTCAGCATCACACTGTTGGCTCGTGTTCGGCTCATGGTTGAGTAAGACTCCTCAAAGCACCCCCAACAGATGGCCATCCAGCCTTAATAATATGTGGAACGCCCTTCCCTTGGACATCAGATCAGCCCCTTCGTTAATGGTATTTCGAAGGAAACTAAAAACCTGGCTGTTTGAACAGGCGTTTGGATAAACGGTGCATTTGTACATGATGAATATAGGATACGGAATTTGGACGACGAATTGGATCATGATTCTAGTTACGAGACGTTAATGTGTTGATATTGATGTGTTATTATCCTGTATATTATGTTGTTTAATGGTTTTTTAAATTTTTATGCCTGTTGGATTGACTTTTTTACTCTTGTTGTGAACCGCGTTGAGTCACCTACAGGCTGAGAAACTGTGGTATACAAGCAAAGTAAATAAATAAATAAATAATAACAGAATTGCAAGGGACCTTTAAAGACCATCTAGTCCAACCCTTTATTCTGCCTTCATGCAGGAAAAGCACGATCAAAGCACCTTCGACAGATGGCCATCCAGCCTTCTTAATAATAATAATAATAATAATAATAATAATAATAATAATAATAATAATAGAGTTGGAAGGGTCCTCTAAAGAACCTTCTGCCTTCATGCCAACTCTTCACTCCATTTTACTCATTCGCCTGCCTTTCTTCAGTTGTTTGTTGAAATCTACTACATTTGTTGTAGTCAATCCCTAATTCAAAAACGTCTTTGTTTTGCAGCGTTTTGGAGTACACCCTTTGCTGGAGTTATTTGCTCTGAGACAGAAGAGGACGGACGAGTACTTTGCATCCCATAGTCTATTTCGAAAGATGGACAACCCTGGCTCAGCCAGATGTGAAGCAGGAGGAGGCCCCGATGCCATGACAATTGAGGGCAGTGGGACAGTACAGGAAAGAACCACGGAGACATTCCAGAGTGTGGACATGGCCAACTCGGACATCCAGCGTCAGAGATTCAGGCAGTTCCCCTATCAGGTGGGCAAGGGTCCTCAAGAGATCTGCAGGGGCCTCCATGCTTTGTGCCAACAGTGGCTGAAACCAAAAGAACGGAGCAAACAGCAAATGGTGGACCTGGTGATCCTGGAGCAGTTCCTAAGCATCCTGCCCCCAGATATGGCATCCTGGGTCAGGGAATGTGGGGCAGAGACCTGTTCCCAGGCGGTGGCCTTGGCGGAAGGGCTCCTCCTGAGTCAGGCAGAGGACAAGAAGCTGGAAGGACAGGTGAGAGCATTGCCTTTTTCTGTCTCCAAAACTGAACTTCATTGATTGGATGTGCTGTATACCCTCCCTCTCTTCCAGGATGGCATCCAGTGAATGGAAATAAGCAAATTATGAACCCTCTGCCCCATTCCCCAGTTTATCTGCTCCTACTGCTGCCATCTGAATATCTGTTGCCAACTCTGTTGCCCTGGTATGGGGAGCATAGCCCTCTCAGAAAACTCTTTAAATGATTCTTCTTCTTTAAATAATAATAATAATAATAATAATAATAATAATACAAAATATGGATTGTCGATGTTGCAATCCCAGGTGACAGCAGGATTGAAGAGAAACAACTGAAAGGCTGACATGATATGAGGATTTAAAGATCGAACTGCAAAGACTCTGGCACAAGCCAGTCAAGGTGGTCCCAGTGGTGATAGGCACACTGGGTGCAGTGCCTAAAGACCTTGGCCTGCACTTAAACACAATCGGCGCTGACAAAATTACCATATGCCAGCTGCAGAAGGCCACCTTACTGGGATCTGCATGCATTATTCACTGATACATCACACAGTCCTAGACACTTGGGAAGTGTCCGACGTGTGATCCAATTCAACGGCCAGCAGAGTGATCTTGTCTGCTGTGGACTCATTTTGTTGCATTTCAAATAACAATAATAACAACAACAACAATAATAATACCATTATTTTTGTAGCCCGCCTTTATCTCCCCGAAGGGACTAGGGGCATCTTACAATGTGCCAAGACAAAGCATTAAATAAACGCACAGTATTTATTTATTTATTTAGAGTTTTTATAACCCGGTCTTCTCGACCTCTGGAGAGGGACTCAGGCCGGCTAACAACAGAGGATTCAATACAGTAAGATAAAAACAAATATACATCATCAATATAAAATACGTTAAAATACAATTCATACAAATTACAAAAAAAAATACAATAAATTAAAAACCTAAATAAAGGAGTCCTCAGTGGCTCGGTGGGTTAAACCGCTGAGCTGCTGAACTTGCTGACCAAAAGATCGGTGGTTTGAATCCAGGGAGATGGGTGAGCTCCTGCTGTTAGCCCCAGCTTCTGCCAACTTAGCAGTTCAAAAACATGCAAATGTGAACAGATTAATACCGCTCCGGCAGGAAGGTAACGGCGTTCCATGCAGTCATGCTGGCCACATGACCCTGGAGGTGTCTATGGACAATGGCAGCTCTTTGGCTTACAAACAGAGAAACTGGGCCAATGGTCCGCATTCAATGACACAGGATTCTTCCCCCCAGAGTTGGACATGACTGGACTTAATGTCAAGGGGAAACCTTTACCTTTTATATCATATAAAAACAACAGTTTAGAACTCAGAACAAGGCCAAAAGTCCTATGGTGACAACTACCATAAGACATGGCCAAACTGTAAACAAGGCAAGGGAATGGGTAGTGCAAATTGTAGCTAAGGAACAGGGCATGGGATAAAAGTGCAGTGCTGTGTCATTGATTGCGGACCATTGGCCCAGTTTCTGTTCCCTGTGTCTCGTGTTTCGGATGTTCTTACTGCCACTACTGCTCAGCAGTCAAAGCAATGTGATAACATTGCAATGGCAGCATGCAGTTCCCCCTTACCGTGGGATTCAGGGTGAAATGTGTTTCAGAAATTGTACATTCTCACTTTGAGGGGTTAAACATCCTTAACTGTAAGTCGTTTTCTTCTGGTATTTGCCTGTATATATATATATATATATATATATATATATGTGTATGTATGTATATGTATATAGTCTTTGAAATATGCCTCGTACCATAAAATGATCAGTCCTTAAGATAGTTGGCAGCCAGCAATTTTTCTTCACTGTCCAAAGAGAGAACAAATGGCAAAATAGCAGTTAGAACCGTTGGCCTCAGCAGCTGATTGGCTGAGTGTGCCAGAGGCCAGGGTTCTGATTGGCTGCTGCCTCTGGCTGGCTGCTGAGGCCAACGATTCTAACTGCCATTCTGCCATTTGTTCTCTCTTTGGACAATGAAGAAATTGCTGGCTGCCAACTATCTTAAGGACTGATCATTTTATGGCATGAAGCATATTTTAAAGACTATTTTAAAAGGACTATTTCATTCTTCTGTGACTGATGTATAACTGTTACCTTGTTTGAAACTTTGAACTAAAGTAAAGATACTGTTACTTGTTTTACAAGCCCGAGTGACATTTTATTATACAGCAGAATATACCTTGGTTTAAATGCTGTGGTAAAGCTTCTACTTATTCTGCTTATACACATTTACCAATCCTCACATATATATCTTAGTTCCTACTTCTCCTTGCTCTTTCAGGCCAAAGATTTCTATATGGAAGTTCAGTTGAATCTCCCTGTGTCAGAGGAATCGTCATCAGAGATAACCCAGAGCACTCAATGGAGGGAACTCAAGCAGGAGAGAGACAGCGCTGCGGCCTTGCAGGGTAAGGACTAACCCTCTCTGGCATATTCATCTTTGTATTTTACACCTGCATCTAAAAGTATGGAACTCATCCAATGGTGTTCTTCATTACTGTTATCTTTGCTCTGCTGGAGCCCTCGGTGGTGCAGCGGGTTAAACCACTGAGCTGCTGAACTTGCTGACCGAAAGTTTGGTGATTCGAATCTGGAGAGCTGGTTGAGCCTTTGAACTAAAGTAAAGATACTGTTACTTGTTTTACAAGCCTGAGTGACATTTTATTATACAGCAGGATATACCTTGGTTTAAATACTGTGGTAAAACTTCTACTTATTCTGCTAATACACAAGCCCGAACAACAATTACAAATTGCCAACCTAGCAGTTGGAAAACATGCAAATGTGAGTAGATCAATAGGTACTGCCTTAGCGGGAAGGTAATGGCGCTCCATGCAGTCATGCTGGCCATATGACCTTATAATAATAATAATAATGAACTTTATTTGTACCCCGCCCCATCTCCCCGATGGGGACTCGGAGCGGCTTACATGGAGCCAAGCCCGAACAACAATTACAATAAAGAGCG